TTCTATGAATAAATGAGGCTTTTTACTCTATCTTAAAGAAAATTTTGGAAAATGATCATACGAACAATTAATGATAATTTAAAAAAATTCGAGACCTAAATGTTATAATGTGTAAAAATTATGAACATTTCATGCAATTAAAATGCAGTCTAATTATTAAAAACGTGAAAATATATTTAGCTTTTTGGATTGGAGACCCGCGTTGAGGTATTTATTTTTCGGAAAATTTCATAACTAAGAGATTAAGTTTCACCATTTTCAAATTTAAGAGATAAGGTTTAAAATTTTAAATTTCAGATTTTTTTAGGTTTAAAATTTCAAATCTTAGATTTTTAAACTTTTATTTATAAATTGATTAATTAAACCTCTATTTTATTAATTAAATATATTAAGGTCACAATTCTATATAATTTGGTCACAAATTCTATATAATTGGTCACATATTATTAATTTGTCACANATAATTGGTCACATATTATTAATTAGTCACAAATCACAAATCTTACATGTCACAAATTATTTTATGGTCACAATTCAAAAATTTTATATGTCAAAATTTGTTCATTAGTCACAAATAAAAAATTGAAACGTGGTAAATTATTGTTTTGTTACAATTCAAAAATTTTATATTCACAATTTGTTCATCGGTCACAGATCAGAAATTTTATAAGTCACAAATCAGAATTTTTATAGGTCACAAACTATTTTACGATTACAATTCAGAAATTTTATAAGTCACAATTTGTTCATCGGTCACAAATAAAAAAATGTATACATCACAACTTATTCATCAGTCACAAATCACAAATATTATAAGTCACGACTTAGTAGACAGTCACAAATTGTCAAATTGTCGGTCACAAATTAACAATTTTTTAGGTCACACGTTATTTTTTTGTCACAATTTATCTTTTTCATTGGTCACATACACCGCACCTCAAACAAATCAACACCACCGCCAACGTCGCCACCAGAACCACTACCACCATCTCAAACAAATCGGCACATGGCAGAACGTCACGCCAGATCCACCACTACCACCACCTCACCTCACCTCCACAGTACAGCTAATAAATAAGGATGCAGAGCACAGACAAACCATCACCACGACCAAATCCATCACCACCAACTCTAGATCCACCATCAGTAGCGCTCGATCCACCACTGCCACTAAAACCACCCAAACATCACCACACTATGGAAACCACCACCACTAACAAACAAAAATAACCAAATCGAGCGTGGCTGCCATCCTTCACGCCCAAAATATCTCAAAACCACGGCGGCATAACGCCGTTACGAGCGCAGAGGTTCTGATCGGTGACCCTCGCGCAGTGGCATAGCCTCTTCTGGTATCTTGCGAAGCAGCGCCATCTGTGGACTTGCTATATCACTGTGGTGGTGAGAGGTTGGGCTGTCGGCAGAGAGGGAGGAGAATGATGCGCCGTCTGTAGAGGTGGTATCTCGCGAGACTGCGCCATCTGTGGATGTGTTGTATCACGGTGATGGTGCATGGGTTGCCGGTGAAGATGGCGGAGATGGCGTTGCCGATGAGGATTGGTAGAGAGAGTGAGAAGAGATTACGGTGAGAAGAAAAGAGGAGGAGGAATATTGAAAATGATTGCTAGGGTTTGGGGGAAATTAATTAGGATTGGGATGAAAATTGTATAATTAATATTTAATTAAACATGAAATATCCGATTTTTTGAAAAATGAAACTTGTGATTTGATTTTTGAATATGGATCTTGAAAAGTAGGGTTTTGTGTAATTTCCACTTATTTGTTTGCATCACAAGTTTCCATACCTATATTATTTTCGGAGAATTAATTAATTTTTATTTTTAACGAAAAAGAGAAGAAATGGCAAGAGAGGTAGAGGCACAAGTGATCGGCTGCCACACCGTTGAGGCCTGGAATGGACAGCTTTTAAAGGGAAATGATTCCAATAATTTGGTAATTTTTTTCAATACATTTCAGATTTCGATTTTATTGATATGAGTATGTAATTATGTATGCTTTATTGTGTTTTCAGATTTATGTGTTATTTTCTTTTAATGTTTTTAGTTTGATTAAATTGAACGTAATGCTTTTTCTCTAATCTGATTTGAATTTTGTTGAATTATTATTATTATTATTATAGCTTCCCACTAAATTATTATATTATTTTCTCTCATTGAAAATCAAAATACTTTGGATGTATTTTATTATAGAGAGTGTGTTTGGCTCTCCAAATTTAGAGAGCTAAACTCACTCTAAATTAAAATGTTAATTTAAATTTATTTTTTTAAAGCATGATTTTAAGAATTGACTTTTAAAATAGAGAGTATCTAATATTCAAAGAGTTTACTGGGGATGTTTGTTACCTTCCTCGTTTAGACCAAACTTTTACTTCAATCTTGTACACTTGCTTTGAATAAATATTTAATTTTTATTTCATAAAAGTACTTTGCTTGCCTACTAGTTTTGCTGCTTTAATGCAACATGCTATTGTAAAACTTCTTGCGGCTTTCAATGTCGAAGTTTCATTGATATTGTGCTTAAACAATTTACTTATAAGTTTGCACATTCCATACCAAGCATGCCCTTTAAATCTTTATTTTTACGAGTGCAGAACTTCACTCAAATTTATAAACTACTAGATTGTTAAACTTTTCACATAAGATTGATACGTATAGATTGTTGAGGCGTCGGAGGGTTGTATAGATCATGTCATAGTTTTTGGCAAACCTATTACATGTAAGCTTTCAGTACATTAATTTGGCAATGAGAATTATGATCGGCTTATTAGCATAAAACGTCCATACGTCTGGTCTTTAGTATGCAAAACGTTCATACGTTTCAGTTTTTTTGCATTTTCAACCCTAGTTCCACATTTCATTGCGGAAAACATTCCTTTCCTCAATTTTCATCAATTTCACTACTATATAAAAGAGTGAGTTCCATTTTTACTGTTTATAAGCCGATTGACCACCTAAGCCGAACCGAGTTGAGTGAGCCGCGTTAGGCGGGCTCACGGGGGTTCGGGGGCAGGGCCCTCGAAATTTTTCTTTGAAACATTATCTGTTAAAAGGAGGAAAGTTGGTAATTTATGATGGAGAAATGAAACAAATGAACATAAATTAATGTACGAAAACTTTACAAAAAAAATCAAGAAACATATAAATTATCCGAAGTTACATACTCGAATTTGAGCTCAAGCTTACGTAGATCGGATCTTCCTCAATAGTCTTGAACTCATCAAGCTTGCACTCAAACAATAAGACGCCATATAAACTCAATAAAACCGCAAA